TCAGGGCTGGCGCTGACCTGGAAGGCTTTCCAGCCCCTTGCCCATCCTGTGGCACTAAGCTTTCACAGTGCTGCCACACAAGGTTCTCCCACGCCTTGTGCACTAACACATGTGCACATCACTCAACATCCCACACAGATCATTTTCCTCAAAAACAATGGGTCAAGTGTTACACAAACTGCCAGGCTGCCACCACCTGGGAGCAACTGCTGCAAGGAGGCGGGAGGCTCAGCTCCCCTCTCCAGCCCCAGCTCAGGATTCCTTGCTTTCTTCTTCCCACACCTCCCAGCTCTCGCTGCTTCATCAAGGTCAAGGCCCTGTGCAGAGCTGGAAGAGACAGAATCGGTCCTCATAGTAAAGCAGCCAGTGGGGTGCTGTCCACCGCCAGACTGACCCCAGGCACAACAACACGAAGTCCTGCCTGGCTCTGCGCCACTCCCACAGATCTATTGCGAATTGTTGGGCTCCCCAGCAACGCCACAGAATGGCTTTCAGAACTAGATCGCCAGGCCTTTCTTCCTAGTCTATCTTAGTCTGGCAGCTCTGGTGAAACCCATTCAGCATCATAGCAACACGAAGGCTCCGGGGACAAAGGTTGTGCATGAGGTGCACTGGCCAGGAATCAACCCCAGATCTCCCACCTGGAAGCTGAGACTTGGACCCCACAGCTCATGGGGAGGCAATACTACTACTGAGCATCTTAAAACTGAAGACAAGTACTGAGGCCCCAAGCTTGAGAGAGCTATTAGCACCACCAACCCACAGGACCAAACCGGACCAACCCACTGCCCTCAAGGCAATCCCAACTCATCGTGACTGGATGCGGGGTTTAAGTTTCGTCTTTCTCTTGCAGAGCAGCTGCTGGGTTTGAACAGATAACCTTGTAGTTATCAGTCCAACGTTTACCTGTCAAGCACCACCAGGGCTCCTTAACCCACAGGTCCTACACACCAAAAACCAAACTCACTGCCATCAAGTTGATGCCGATGCAGAGTGGCCCTAGAGGGCAGGCCTGCTGGGTTTCTGAGACTGTGACTCTTCGTGGGAGTAAAAAGCCTCATCTTTGTCCCGAGGAACCGATGGTGCATTTGAATTGCTGAGTGTGTGGCTAGCAGCCCAAAGCACAGCCACTATGCCACCGGGGCACCCATCTCGCAGGACAAGAGGAGCAGGGGACCTCAGGATTCGACTTTTGGTTTAGGGAGAGGGTGCAGATCTGGTTCAAATCTCTCTTCTACTCATTCGCTGGCTCTAGGATCCTAGACACAATCGCTTGAGCATAGTTCTTCCCACGCAGGAGTTACTGAAAGGAATGTATGCAGCAGGCATTACCTTTGCAGCCCAAGCACAGCGATTGCAAAAAGCAGGCGCTCCTGGTGCTTGCTGAATGAATTTGCTTTGAAAGTGGAGAGGAGCTGGTGCCTGTGTGGGGCAGAGAAGCAGCCTTAGGGGAGAGAAGCCAGAGTGACCAAGGCAGGGAGGTTAGGGATCGCTGTGGTTCCAGGTCACGGAGAGAATTAAGAGTGCGGGATGGAAAGAATTATGCTGCAAAGCTCTTAGTCTGTTGGGAACCCTTTTCTACGAAGCAAAGTTCAAGGGACTCTGTTGACATTTCTTCTCCAGGTAGCTAAGATTTACCCAGAAAAAAAAAAAAGAAAACGTTCAAATACACAGAGACTCAAACCTCAGCGTGTGAGGACGCTTCATGCCCAGCATATGACAGGGCGTCCAAACAACACCGCCTTGCTATTGTTGAGTTTGGCAGAGAAGTTCAAAGGCTCACGTTCAATAGGTGGCTCCCTGAGGTAAACAGACCCCGTTAGGGTGTTTTTCAGTGGAAAATTCTTAGAACCTCCTGGCCTTATCGGGGCCTGGGCCATCAGCGATTCATTATTTTTATTAAAAGTGGAGGCTGCATCCGGTGGCGCTTTTACAGTGGTGGGAATAGGGGTGGATTTTCCTGTCTCTCAAGGTCACCTGTGAGGGCTTCTCTCAGATAGCTTTCCAGCCCTCGTGTAACAGTGCTTTGTTTTGTTTTTAAATCACTTTATTGGGGGCGCTTACAGATATTATAACAATCCGCAAATCAATCATATCAAGCAAACGTACATATCTTGCCATCGTCATTTTCAAAACATTATCTTTCTACCTGAGCCCTTATCATCAGCTCCTCTCAGTGACTTTGAGCTTTCCCTGACTTTGTCTGGATTCCATTCTGCTGCTAAGGAGGAGATTTAACTCCCTGGCAAGGAGACCTTGTGGGGCACAGTGGTTATGTGCTGGACTGCAAACCCAAAGGTCTATAGTTCAAACCCACCAGCCACTTTCTCCATGGGAGAAAAGAGCTGGCCATCAGCTCCAGGGAAGATTGCGGCCTAGTGACCCACCAACCATTACCCTCGGGAAACTGGAAAGCTCCCCTGACAGCTCCTGGGCTTGGGCGTTGTTAGCGGCCACTGGGAGTCAGACCTCCGACTCGTGGAACCCCAGGCACACCAGACCAAAACACTGCCACTTCCCAGGGCTGTGGATCAGACCCTGATGAACCAAAGAGCTTTGCCTTTGGTTTTACCCGTGGCTTGCTTTTGAAGTAGATCGCCAGGCCTTTCCTCTCAGTCAGTCTTAAGCTGGAAGCTCTGCTGACACGGGCACAGCATCAGCGCGACACCCAAGCCTCCAATGAGCTACTGAGGGTGGCAGCCCACAGGGGGCACTGCCTGGAAGTCAGACTGGGCCACTGCATGTTGAGGTTGTTACGTGCCAGCAAGCTCCTTCGGACACAGTGTCCCTGTGTACAAGCCACCACTCACCCCCTGCCATTGAACTTTACAGCAACCCTAGAGGGCCAAGTAGAACTGTCCCATGGGGTTGCTGAGATTGTACATTTCCCAGGCCCAGGCAACCTTATCTTTCTCCCATGGAGTGGTTGGTGGGCTGGAACTGCTGACCTTGTAGTTAGCAGCCCAAGGCCTAACCCATTACACTACCTGATCGTCCCCTATAGCACAGAGCAAAAACACTACCTGGTCCTCAGACCCGTTGCTCTGTTTGAGCCGGTAGGTGCAGCCACGGTGTCAATCCATCTCGGGGAGGGTCGGGAAGGTCCCTCCCAGGTGACATAAAAAGTGAGAATTCTGTCACCAATCTGTCACCAGTGCCCTCTTCACCCAGTCTGACCTCTCCTCCGCAAAAACAAAATCCAGTATAATCATGCAAAAACCATCAGAAGGACAGGATAAATACAACTGATCTATTTGGCCCCCATGGGAACAAAGCAGTGGCTAATAAATGCCGCCTTTGATACTCATATTTAAGATGTCAAGAGCAAAAGACAAAAGATTCATCCACACTGAGGCCTCAAGTCAATCCAATCTAAAACAATAAAACAATAAAAATAAAAACACAAACAAAAAACTCACTTTGACTCCTATTTGACTCATCAACAAAGAACTGCCCTGTGGGTTTCTGAGGTTGTAAATCTTTGAAGATGCAAAAAGCCTCATCTTTTTCCCTTGGGGCAGCTGTGGGGATCAAACTGCTGGCCTTGTGGTTAGCAGTCCAACAGGCGACCCACTATACCACCAGGGTTCCATCCTCAGTCTCCAAACCCAGAGGTAAACATGGGCAAAGGTCTGTATGTTCTCCCTTGTGTCCTAGAAGTGGCCTGTGTGCTTCCATTAACTGATGACATTATATTCACGTGGGGAAGGGAAAATTCTGCTCAAGCTATCTTCCTTGTGGATAAAGACAGAGTGGACATTTGCCATGAGAGAGGATTTTGGAAAGATTTTGTCCCAAATGACAGCTTTCTTTCTTTTTAAAAAATTTTTATGACAGCTTTCTAAATGAAATTAGTAGGTAAGAGAAAATAGGTCTATGAAAAACAAGTCTCATTCACTCACTGCCACCCTGTGAGAACTAGGAGTTACTGGTAATTTGTTAAACATGCAGCCGCGACTACAGGCACTTGGGAAGGAGACAGACATAGGCAGCGGTCCAGCTGAAGAAGGGTCCCGTATATACTTGCTTCAGATATTTGGAAAAGATGAGCAAATGTATTTACATTCAGTCAAACAACCTACTCAGCTTTGCTAGACCATAACCTGAGTGGGAAGCAGAGAATTTGGGATTCTCCGTCTAAACCAAGGGAAGAGAGGGGATTTGGATATGAGCTGCTTAAACCAGATACTCTTCCAGGTCTTGGGAATCCAGAGGCTGGGACTTCGCCAACACCCTGCTGAGTGAACTTGGCTCTAGGCTCTTGGAAAGAGAGTGACACCAAACCTAAGGTGGCCAGACATCCCGCTTTTGGCGGGACAGTCCCGATTTGTAACAATTTTTCCCAAGTCCCGTGGCATTTTTAAAAAGTCCCGATTTTTGGAAAGAATGCATGACAAGCTAGGGTATACGGTTTTCAGCTGCTGTGTGGCTATTTCGCCAGGGTATGAGTTTTATCAATGGTGTCCTGCTTTACCAATTAAAATCTGGTCACCTTAAGTCCAAACCTGGTCTCCCCAGTCCCGCCGGCCTTAAGCTGCATGTCAAAGAGGAGGCACAGCACGGCTCTTCAGCTCTGCTTTGGACAGGAGGCAGGACTCTATGAGAGCCACCTGGGTTCAAATCGCCCACACGTGCTATGAACGCCAACCAGAGGACCATGACTGACGCCCAGGGGTTGCTGCCCCAGAAAGACTCTGTTTCCTACCTTCAACAGGTCTACGTTGCGGGACTGACACAGGTTCAGGAATGAACCATCCGAGCAGGCTGTGTTCTAGAAGCCCACTCTCAGTTGGGGGAAGAGAAAAGAGGGCTTTTACCTCCCCACCCCTACCCCTCTACCTCAAATACCCCTGGGTCACAATCCCCTGACACTCACCCTGCAGTCACAAAGGCAGCCAGAGTCACACATCTGTGTGAAGAACCAGAAAGCTCCACGGCAAACACAGAAGGGCAAGCCAGCACACTCATACCTCTGACCACCCACAAACAACTTCACTCACCTGGTTGCCAAAGACGGCCAAGGAGCAAGCTGTGGAAACCTCGTTAGCCCCGAACCAAACGGAAGCGATTCGGGAGGGCATGCCCAGGATGAAGACCTGAGCCACGGAGCAGATGACCTGGCCCAGCACAGTGACCGGGAAGAGGTGCGGCTGGAGGCTGCCCAATTTCACCCAGGCGCCCAGGCAGTTGAGAGCCGAGCCGCTGAGGGCAATGGTGCGTAGGCCGAATTTCTCCAGCAGCCACGCCACGGGCAGGAGCAGGGGGATGTAGGTCAGCATGTAGCACATGGACAGCCAGTCGATGGCTAAAGTACCGACCCCGTAAAACTTCATGAAGATGTTATTGATGGCGCCGTACTGGATCCACTGGAAGGCGTTGCACATGGAATAGCAGCTGAACACCAGGACCACCGCCCAGCGGCGCCGGCTCACCTTGATTACGCTGAGGTCTTCAGGGCCGGAGCCACTGGGGTGGGACAAGCCGCTGGGGCGAGCCAAGGCACTGGGGTAGGCAGAGATGCTGGGGTGACCCGAGACGCTGGGCTGGATGGACACGCTGGGGTGGGCGGAGACGCTGGGGTGGCCCGTGACGCTGGCGTGGATCGAGACGCTGGGGTGGCCCGAGACGCTGGCGTGGACAGTCGCGCTGGGATCCTCCGCCAAGCTGGGCTGTGCCGAGTCGCTGGGGTCTTCGTAAGAGGCAGGCTCTTGCACGTGGGCGCCCGGGCCCAACTCCTGTTGGAGACCTTCATTCACCATGCTGACCACAGCCTTCCCCGGAGCTCTGGGCCCAGGCGCCCCGGACAGGTGCCGAGGGCGCCGGCAGAGTTAGGGGACAGTGGCTTCAAGCGCCTCCCCAGAGCTAACAGGTCGCGTTCCCCTCCCTCTGCCCCAGAAAGATCGGCGTCCCGGGAGTTCGGGCCCCAAGTTCCTGCGACGACTTTTCCTTGGGGCTCCTTTCCCGGACCCGCGGCGGCCACGGTGGTCCCCCAGGCCGGCCGCGGACGTCGGCAGGGCCCTGGCTGCCTCTGCCTGGAGTCCCTCCCAGGCGTTCGGGTCACATCCACTCGGTCCCCTCCGTCCTGGAAGAAGTTCCCTCCTAGAGTCCTAGTGCGATCAGCCGGCCAACTCGCTCTGCCCTGGGCCGGCTGGGGCCTCGCCCCCTCGGGCGCACGTGACCGCCCCCTCCCGCCCCTCCTGTCGGGGGAGGGGGGGCGCGGCGTAGTTGTTTCGCCACAGCCCAGAGATGCATCCTGTCCCCCACGTCCCGGCACCATGGAAACCGCTGGGTTACCGGCAGGCCACCCCTGCGCTGCCCCCAAGCTCCCCGATCCCTCTCCCAGGGGACCCGCAAGAAGATTCGCTCCGTCCTGCCCAGGTCACCCGGCTCCAAGAAATCAGGACACCGCCTGCATCCCTTAAGCGGGGGTCCTGACGGCAAGCGCTCCCCAAGTCTCCCCCAGATCCCAAGAGGGAATCGCGACTTCTTTCTTGGCTGCGCGCCCAGCGCGTTGCTGGACTTTGGGTCGACACTGGGCTTTACGGATTTCCCGGCGGGGCTGAGCCCCTGGGAAACTTGCAGAAGCTTGGCTGTGGCCTTCGCAGCGCTGCTCCAGCTTGAACCCCGACGCTAGGACCCACCGGGGGCCTCCGAGACCCGGGCCGCAAGGAGAAGGGGAGCGGGAGAAGCTACGGAAGGCAGCGACCAGAGCGCCATCCCCGGTAGCGACGTCTCCAAGCAGGTCCCTGAGCGCACAGAGCTATTGGCTGCCCCCTGCCGGTTCCGGCCGGACTCGCCCCCGGGGGAAGCGCGTCTGCGGGCAGGTGAGCCGCTCACTCCCAGAGGGGGTCCGCCAGGGCCAAGGGTCGTGGTGATGGGCCCAGGTGAAACTCCGCGTTAGCTACGCCCAGGTGGGTTTCAAAGATGTAGGTCCTCAACCTTTGTGATGAAATACTAGTAGCTGCCTCACGCTGTTGACATGAAAGGCACTCGCAGCGAGTGTAGGGTGTCCCATGTGTACCAACAGCGCCACAGGGGCTTCTCTGAATGAGTCAGCGGTTCTCAACCTGGGGGTGGAACGATCCTTTCCCAGGGGTCGCCCGCTCGATTCATAACAGTAGCAAAATGATAGTGATGAAGGAGCAACGAAAATAGTTGTATGGTTGGGGGGGGTCACTACAACATGAGAAACTTATTAAAGGGTCATGGCATTAGGAAGGTTGAGAACCACTGCAATAGATGAATCAATCATGTTGATGCCGATTCGATTCACAGCGACCCTACAGAACGGGGTAGAACTGCTCCTGTGAGCTTCAGAGACTGTAACTCTTTAAGTGCGTATAAAGACCCAAGGAGTGGCTGGTGGTTTCAAACTGCTGACCTTGTGGTTAGCAGTCCAACGTGTAAGCACTATCCCACCAGGGCTCCTTTGAATCTATGAGAGTGCATGGGGAATCCCAGAAGACGACCTGAAACTCGCTAAAGCAAATGGAAGCAAGGGTGAAATCACCGAGCAGAATAGAAAATTTCAAAGAGCAGCTCGAGAAGACAAAGCCAGATATTAGCACAAAATGTGCAGGGGTCTAGAATTAGGCAACTTAAAGGGAAGAACACACTCAGCATGTCTGAAACGGAAAGAACTCAAGAAAAAACTCAAAAGGAGGAGACCTCATATTGGCTGCGGTCACTCCTTCAACAAGGGGGGAAGGGGAGAAGGCCATCCACTTGAGGCGATACAATCGAGACCAGGCTGTGACCCATCAATGGGCCCTCCACAGGAATGGAAGGAGAACCTTGCTGGAAAAGCAAGTTACGACCAGGGGAGGGGAGCATTTTGGAGGAGGCACGGATATTTCTGTTGGTGAGTATGGTGGGTGAAGGGGGAGGAGCAACCTCACAGCCGGAATGGATGCTAAATATTGATTGTAAGGAGCCTAGGGGGACAATAGACCCCCTAGATTTTATGTTCCTGGGTAGACACTATGAATATGTTTCCACCCAACCCTTGGTGAACCACACCATAGACTAAGCACCATGATGACCTTGGACACTGGCCTTGCAGGCAGGCTGGCATCCCCAGGGGCCACGCCAGAGGGACCCAATGTAGAGGTCTGACTGAAGGAACTGAGCCCTGCCTCAAAGCTGCCTGTACCCTTAGACTTAAGGACTGGGATACAATGATGGGCGAGAAAACAGAAAGGAGCCACCCCGGGCCTGTGGAAGTGGTGGTCATTGGACCTTGGAAGAGACCCAGAATCACCATCTATTTAGTATTTTGATGCTCACCTTGCATTGCTATGACAGGTTTTGATCTGTTGGCCAGGGATCTGCACTTGGAAAAATTGATCCAAGAAGTTTTCCCCTGGCACCAATCCCCATGCTTGGTATAAACAGAGCTCAATCAATTGGGAGATCCAATTGTGCAGGACAACAACTCATGGCTTGCGGCTCATGGTTGGACTGTACGCACATAGGCTCCTAATATCGACTGTGTCTGGAGTTCAGTATCATTGGAAAAATTGCTGAAGTTATCAGTGCAATTGCCTTATACCCCAAGAGGATGACTGACAATGTTTTTCCTTTTTTGTTTCCTTGTTTTTCTGCCTTTTGTTTTGTTGTTGGAGGTGGTCTTGTGGATTTTGGTTTTTGTCATCATATGACAACCAAAGTAAACCAGAGTCATTCATTATCCATGAGCAACCCAATGGATTCTGGGATCCCATGTTACTCTAGCCTCAGTCCAAGAACAGTTAGCTCTCATATCATGGCCCAGCTCCACACTCACCTTCATGAAGAGATCACTGAAGATAAGGGTGCTACAGCAAAGTGTGTTGAAGAAAGCAGAAGATGCCTGGCTATCAATTGAAATAGTGTCTGTAAGTTATAAGCCCAAGGGTAAAAAAAGAAAGAAACCCTGGGGTCTTGTATTCAAACAAGCAGCTATCTAAGTGAGGAGTCAACTAAGTCCAGGCAGAAGAAACACACCAACCTGTGTGATCCAAAGATGACAATAACAAAATCCAAATATGACCAAGAAAAAAGTATCAGAGCTGAAATTATGAACACCCAATTTGTAGAAGGCAGTGGGAGCCCCAAATCCACCTGCAGTGTATGTAGTCAGATTAAGCCTCTGGCAGATCCTCTCTAGCGCAGACAAGGAACTTAAACAGCTTTATATCAGAGATTATTGTAATTTTGATTATGATGAATCAAACTGGTAGGTCAAATCAAATTTGACCTTCTGTGGCAGTTACATAATCTCCTGTCAACTTGCAAAGGGGTAGAGTCTAGCCTGTCAATCAGGTTCCAGCTTGATGACCTCATTTGGAGGCGTGAAGGCAATAAACAGCTCATTGGAAATCAGAGACACTCCCTGTGAGATATTCCTGTTGACAAGCCTCATGGAGACACACTGAGAGAGCCAGAGCCCTGGAGCTGGAGGAGCCAGGTGGAGATCCATGCTAGCGCAGAGATACTTTCACTGCCACTGGATCCACAAGACTTTCCACCTACTGGCCTGTGATTGATCTTCCTGCATTTGGCATCATTGCATGTGTTACGTGAGTCTGAAGAATTTATAGACTGGTAATATTGGACTTATGGACTTGACCTGGACTGGGCTGGAATGTTTACTTAATGTATAATTTCTCTTTGATATAAAGTTCTCTCTTACATACACATGAGTGTCTCTGGATTTATTTTTCTAGTCACCTCAGACTAACCTGAATTTGTTCTAGGTTCAAGTATTTTTTGCTTGTTCCATGACAGAAATTTCTTCTCTGGCTTTTTAAATATTGATGGTGGTCATTTCTTTCTTACTATTTATTTGTAATTTTAGCTTTAAAATTTTTTTTTCTTGCGCTTTTATTTTTTATAGTTTATTTATTTTTAAATTGTTTCTGTTGAGTTTACCAGTTTGTGAAGCACAGAAGCAGTCGATGCATAGAGTCAATAAATGATGCAATAGTTTACCAGGACTTGGAGAGTGGGTGGGAGGTGGAGAGGTTAAGAGGCTTTGGTGCACAATGAGTGCAGAAGTGGGAGGGAGCACTAGAACTGATTATGATGATGTATATACAAGTTTTTAAAAGCGCGTTAGCCATGAAGTGCGTGATATGTGAATACTATATTAAAACTACTAAAAGAAGAAAGAAACCAAACTTGACCAACAGTGACCATGGGCTAAGGGGAAATAATTGTTGCTTAGGGGGCATGGAGTTTATGCTAATGGTGGTGGGATAATTTGGGAAAGGATATTAATGATGGTTGTACAACATGAAGAGTATAATCAATAGCACTGAATTATACAGGCAGAGGTTGTGGAATTAGAGAATGTTTTGTTGTATATATTTTTGCCACCATTAGAAAAAAATAATGGCATGACTAATAATGAGTACAAGGAAGAAAAAATGTTCTAAAATGGATCCTGGTAATGATTGTATAACTCTCTTTTTATATTACTGAACCCTTGAATGGTATGTTATGTGGATGAAGTGCCAAGAAAGCAGTTTGAAAAAAGGAGTGGTGGGAGGGGTTGCTGTTGGGACCACTGGTTTCCAAGAGAATTCGATTCAAACTCTCACTGCCCAGAGGCACACATTGTTTGGAAGAGCTGCTGGAGTCTTAGATTACACTGGAAAGTTTGAGGAGGGGATTTCTGGCTACGAATGTCTGTACTCAAACCCCACTGGCGTCCTAGGCTCTGAGTGGGGTTGGCGTCCACAAAGTCAGCAGCTCCACCCCATCAGGCACTCCACGAGAGACATGAAGCTTTCTGCTCCAGCATCGGAAATGGACAGGGCAGTTCTCCTGGGTCCTGTAGGTTCTCTGTGAGTCTGAATCAATTGGATAGCGGTGAATTTGCTTTCGTTTTTATTCTAAAAGTCCCCCCATTGTTTCCCATCATTCTCCAGAAAGCCTCAAACCTCCCCTTTAAAAACAACCACCACAACAAACCTCCTGAGGCTTCACTTTCTTTTCCCTGGGTCACCAGTCTCTCCAACCACGTATTGGGTGCTTGGTTTACAGAT